TTATATTCGCTATAATGCATTTGCGGTAATGCATTCGCTATATTATATTCGCGATAATGCATTCGCTGTAATGCATTCGCTATAATATCTTTTCGCGGTAATCAACATTCGCTATAATGCATTCGCGATAATACATTTCGCGCTAAAATTTTCGCGGTATTGACATGTAACCGTTATTAATACTTATTTTAACATATTTTCCTCAAAAAAATTGAAAAAACTTTAAAAATAGCGATTATGACAATTGTAACTTTTCATTGGTACATCTTCACTAAATTTATATTTACACATGTTATTAATACTTATTTTAACATATTTTCGTCAAAAAAATTCAAAAAACTTTAAAAAGAACGATTATGACAATTGTCACTTTTCTATGGTACATCTTCACTAAATTTATATTTACACATGTTATTAATACTTATTTTAACAAATTTTCGTCAAAAAAATTCAAAAAACTTTAAAATTAACCATTATGACAATTGTCACTTTTCATTGGTACATCTTCACTAAATTTATATTTACACATGTTATTAATTCTTATTTAAACATATTTTCGTCAAAAAAATTCGAAAAACTTTAAAAATAACGATTATGACAATTGTCACTTTTCATTGGTACATCTTCACTAAATTTGAATTTACACATGTTATTAATACTTATTTTAACATACTTTCTTCAAAAAAATTCAAAAAACTTATAAAAGAACGATTATGACAATTGTCACATTAAAATATTATCCTTAAAAAGATCATATAAAATAACATCAAAAAAGTTTCATAAAATCCACCTCATTTAATAATAAATAGATAATTTTAAAAAAATGATAAAAGATTTCACCTAAAAGATTGTTTATTTATCTAATAAAATTTACAATATAATTCCTCAATAAAAGATGTATTTACAAAGAAGATTGTGAAAATCACTAATAAATTATATTATAAAGAATATTACATTTTTACAATATAGCAGCATATTTTTTTTATTAAAAAAACATCAAATAAATAAATTTATTTTCATTTCAAAATATAATATAAATAAAAAATATTAAATCATATCATGTTTATTTGTTGATAATAATAAAATATTTACATTAAATATAAATAAAAAATATTATTTTACTAAAATAAATAAATAATAATTAATGCTAAGCATCGATGCAGAATTTCGACTAATTTATTTTAGCCAATTTTTAGGCTTAGCCGATTTTTAGGCTTAGCCTAATTAGGCTTAGCCGATTTTTAGGCTATACCTAATTAGGCTTAGCCGATTTTTCCACCTAAAATCTCGGCTAAGCCGTTTTTAGTCGGCTAAAATTAGCCGATTACGCAACACTAGTATTGATTTTAATAAATAATGGGCCTCATAGCTAAGCAAGGATTTATATATTCCTTTACATGATAAAAATATCCTTACAATTTTGAACTGCTATCTAAAAAAATGTTCTTAGCAATATCCATTCTTTATGACACATAATTGTGCTTATGGTTTCCTAAGCTAACATTAATCATTCAAAATATTATAAAATTTTTCTTTTGAATATTTTTACATGAATTAGATTAATTAATAATTATTTATATTTATTATCTATATCTATGTATGTTAATGAAATGTTGAAAGGAAAAAAACATGAGATATCAAACAATATGTTCAATTGATTCAAATCAAATAACAACAGATGTTAAAATAAATCAAGTGAAAAATAATAAATAATTATATAAAATGTAATGTAATAAAATGTACAAAAACAAAAAATAATATAAAAAGTAAATAATAAGTTATCTAAAAAATAATTAATAAGTTACAGTGTTGTGTGGTGATGATTTAATGAAACATATTGACGATTAAATTAATGATTGGTTTTGTTGTAACACATTCCCAAAAAAAAACATTCATAATTATTGTAAAAACTTGTTGAGAATTTTTTAAAAAACTTGAAATTTACCACCCTATTCGCTGAATTAAATTCGATCGAAATTTTTCGGTGTTATTAAAAATCAATACCGATTCCGAGATGCAATTGTTAAGAGTATTTGAGCAGTTATTTTACATAAAATTTTTCAAATTTTTATTCTTACACCACAAAGTTCATTAAAGATGGAATTCGATGCATTTCTTTAAATGATTGAATTTATAATTGATTTTTATTTAAATATGGAATTTAATTTTTTTAAGTACTCAAAATAAACGATATATGTTATTTAGCGTTTACTTTCTATAAATAAAATCACCTATTTTTATTTTATATTAAAAATTCAACGACGCTACCCGAATTTTCTCAAAAAATATTAGGCCCGAACCCGGCTCAGGAGGCTCATTGAGCCGCTCGAGCCTGAGCCGTATATTACGTCTCCATCTCGAGTTAAGAGTCGAAAAAACTCGACTATTTAACAACACTAAACAGCATGTAGTAGATTTCCTACATTAGAAATCATTCCTAAATATACCTCTGCCATTCATTATTGAAAATAATTTTCAAAATGTTAGGACAGCTTTTATAATCTTTATTTACGAAATATTTTTTTAAAAGTTTATAAAATTTTAAAATCCTATCGATGGCGGGTATTAGGAACATATCGAGACCAAAATTGTGCTGACTCAATTCTGTAAATACACTCTGTTTTTACCAAATTCACTGAGGCATTATCAGATCAGAAAGCTCATGCAATTTATTGATAATCTCGAATCTACTATATTTACCATTATATGGTTAGCTATGTCTTATGATTTTTCACTATTTGAGGGGAAAAAATTTAATAGTTTTATTGAAACGGCCTTAATTTTGTTGAAATAGCTGAGGATCATATTTCCCTTATATGATGCATCTGTTAGAATTGCATATGTATTCCCATTTTTCAAATCGTCAAGAATTGACCTCCTGGATTTAGGTCCTAAAACATTGATGATAGCCTTGCAATGTTGTACTACAAAATAAGTGTTTGCAATTGCCGCAACTGTAGTTGCATCTGTATTATTTCTTATGATTACCTTATGTATTCAAACGTGATACGTGATAATTAAATCCCTATAATTTTATACACACGGTAGATTTCCAATTCCGGTCGTTTTGCGGGACATTCGCATAAAATATATTTTTAATTGTAAAATTAAAATCGTTTTTTTAAATAAAATTTTATCTTGTTTACATTCTTTTATACTTAAAAAAGATCGTTGGTATAAATTAATATATTTTATTAAATCAAGATGTTATTTTACCCCCTCCATCCATCCCCAGACCAAGTCACAAGTCACCTTAAAAAATTTTTTTAGCAATTTTTATATTTCTACCGCAATTTTCATATTTCTCCCGCATAATACCAAATTTCCCCCACAATTTGAAAATTTTGACCTGGCAACCCTGTTTATTAGGCATTCAAAATGCAATGATACTATTGCCAGGGCCTTGAAATCTGCTGGCATTCCATCAACCTTCGAGCCTACTGGCCTTTATAATTCCGATGGTATATGATCTGATGGTTCTACATGATCCCTTGGAAGAGGGGGAATTCCTAATCTGGGATTTCTCATGCATCGATCCTCTTGCCCCTTCCATTATAAATAGGGACGCTATACTGAACGTCAAGACGAATATACTCTAAATATTCGCCATTGCTACCTGCCAACTATATATTCCTACCACTACGCCACAACTTTAACATCGTTCGGTTCTCATGCCCTGGCCTTCTTTAAAGAGCTGGGAAGGCGGATGTCTGCTAGGACCTAGGATCATAACGAGGGATTCTACCTACGTCAAAGGTTTGCCCTAAACATAATAAAGAGCAATTATCTCAGCTTTATACTCTCAATGACCAATTATAACGTTTGACGCTAAAAGGTAACTTGGATCTCAATCGATAAAAGAGCAAAATTTAATGACTATATTTTTTCCCCAATAATTGTGAAAATTATTACTTATTTTGTAATTTTATACTAAGCTTTTCTATAAATTGAATTTAAAATTTTAAACAATAAATTATTGTCATTATTTATAAACTAAATTTATAATAATATATTTCATAATAAAGATACAAAATAATTAATTTTTTTAAATGATTTAGTATATCCTTTATTTTAATACTTAATTTATTATTTATATATAGTTTCTAAAAATTAAAGCTGACAATTATGTAAAAAAGCTATTTTTCATGCTTCTACCCCCAAAACTATTCCAGCTTGAAGGCTGAAATTTTGCCCATATATTTGTTATATGAACCATAATTAATATACAAAATTTCGTAAAAGCTAGGCGGAATCATGATTGATTTGACATGTAATATGACCATAACGTTTTTTGTGAAATTTTAGTTATAATTACAAATTTATAATCCTTATACTCAAGCCATCTTTATTCAAATTCTATGTGGCTTAATTAATTTCCTTTATATTTGAAAAACAAGCATTTATTATATATTCATAACTAAAACTGCACATAGATAACACAGTTTAATGAAATACAAGATTAGCTATTTTTTTAGATTTATTTCAGCCAATTTATCTGTTTTTTATATTTAACTTTTTTTTAAAACATATATGGAGATAACAGGGTATTTTTTATTTTTTCATGATAGTTTAAAAATTTGAAATTTATTTTCTAAAAAGCAAACTACTATTATTTTGATAAAATTTACTATAATTAACAATTGCATAATTTTTAATCAACAAAAAATATAATAGCAAAACGATTATTTAATTAAATATTTGTCATTAAGCTATTTCTATGAAAAGTTTTTTAAATATTTTAAAAAATTATAAAGTTGAAGTTTATTACTTATTAGAGAACAGTATGGGCTGAGCTCATTACCAGGTTTTTTGGTCCATTCCATAGTTAGTTTTCCTGCCTTAGCCCGTAATATTTTGTGCAAGTTGTCCAGCCTGGCTTGTAAAATTTTTTATATCGAGATGAACATCATAATTTGCATAATTATTAGCTTCAAAGCATTTTCAAACTCTTACTTTTATTGCCAAAAAATAGTGCTTATTTTTTTATGGTTTATTTTTAGCAAAGATAGTACATACCATCCTTATCCCTATGACAGAGAAGACAGGCATTCACACAATAGAGCTAGAGAAATTAATAAAGATAAAATAGATTCCAGAAGATATGATGATAGATATAAATCAAAATATATTGAGGATTATAATTATAGAGAAGCCTTGCATACTAAGTCATCGGAAGTGATAGAAAAGTAAATAATTTATATATTATATTAACTTTTCTCATCAATTTTTTTAAAAATGATACCGCTTATGAACATTTTTATAATTAAATTTTTTAAAATGTTTTTGCATAATAGGTCTCATAAAAATGTCATGATGGAAGTAGTTAAAACACACTGCATTGAATCAGAAGAGGATGAAGATGATATTATTGCGAAACGTCGAAAACAAAGAGAAATTCTTTTGCAAGTTTAAATCTCATAGTCAAAACTCACATTTTTAATTAATCTATTACTCCTTAAAACTTGCTTCTCCTAATTTTATTAAAATTATTTGGTAGGAGGTTTTAAATTAGAAATAACATTTGTTTTTTATAATAAATTAATGTTATTAGCTTTTAGAAACCCTCCATATATACCACATATATAATGTCTAGCTTATTAGAGTGCTCAAAGCCATATTCACAATAATTAAATATATTGAGATAACAATATTTTAAAATAGATGAAATTCCGGGCCAATCGGATCTAATAAAAAATATTGGTATCTATTACCAATTCGTTAATAAATAATAAAAATTTAGAAATTAAAATAGGCATTTTATATTATAATTAATCTTTATTAAAGCATCAAATATATTATTGTTATGTAAAATAACCTTTTTTGCAATTCAAAATTTTAAGTAAACATGAAGTCTTTGCCGTTATTAGATATAGGATCCATGCCGATATTTAGCTTATATCTGCAACAAGAAAAATATTTTAAAATATATAACGATTCAGCTAGTGTTGTTAAAGGCTTGTTTCAACCAATTTTTAAAAATGACTAACTCAAAAATTTTAGTAGCCATTTTTTTCGACGTAAATGAGGCGTTTAACAACACTAAACTGATCAATAACCATTCTCATATTTTAAATATGATTAAATTTTTGATTATAAAAAATAATAGTCCATTTAATCATTTGTGGAAATTGGGGGGTTTTTATTAGAAAATATTGGTCAAAGATAGATTGTAAATAAAAATTAATATAAATATTGATTATCGGATTGGTCATAAATATATGAATCTGCACATTCCTAAAAACTGATCGATAACCATTCTCATATTTTAAATATGATTAAATTTTTGATTATAAAAAATAATAGTACATTTAATCATTTGTGGAAATTGGGGGGTTTTTATTAGAAAATATTGGTCAAAGATAGATTGTAAATAAAAATTAATATAAATATTGATTATTGGATTGGTCATAAATATATGAATCTGCACATTCCTAAACATCTATAACAATTTCCCGAGTCTATCTATCATGCATAAACTCGTAGACTTATATAAGTACATCTGATATATGTTGCAACTACGATTATCTCTCACATGGGTGCTATCAAAAATTATTATTTTATTGTAAAAATAAGCATTAAAATAACCCGAGCTTCTTAATTCCTTGTTAGGATATTGGGTAATTCCATACCAAATCGATAACTTTTCGGCTCGACCTTTTTAATTTCGATAAAATTTTGTATACTAAGACAATATCATTAGAAAGCATCGAATCCAAAATTTTAGCCTCCTAGTACTCATAGTTCCTGAGATATCAATGGTCAAAAGTGCCAAAAATGACGTTTTTTCGAAAAATGCGATTTTTTAAAATTGAGATAAGTTAAAAAATAATGATTTTAAAAATATAAGTTATATGTCAATTTATAACTCTATTAAGGGTCTTTTATTGAATATTAAAATTTTTTTCAAAATAATATTGTTGCGGTTTTTATTTAAGTTATAAATTTTAAACATGAAAACTCCAAGTGTTTCGCTTTCCAAATTTTTTTGAATTTAATATTTTCTTATTCTCTAACCTTATATCTATTCATAAAAAAAATTTAAACTTGGGACAGCCATGGGTTTTTTAGTTATTGCGATTTAAAAAATCAAAAAATAAATAATATTTTCAAAAATAGATGATTTATAAAATAACGCGTTTTGTTAAAATTATTATTTTTTTTAAACTTTTTTCCATTTTAAACATAAATAATAAGATTTTCCAGCATTAATATTATGAAAATATATTATTTAGATCAATGACTTACTTATTATTAATTATTACTTTATTGATAACTTGTAAAAATTATTAGTTTTTATAATAAATGATTAATTCCCTAAAAAGATAGTTACAATTCCTATATAAGAAAATATAATTAATTTCTGAAAGATAATAACAAGTTTTCATGCACCTGCCTTGATATTAATTAATTTTTATTTTACAAATATTTCAATATTAATTTTTTCTTAAAATTATTTATGTATAAATATAAATGTGCAAATCCTTTTAAAGAATCTAAACACTTTAATTGTAAAAAGAACCTGCGTAAAGTCACGACGTGGATGACACAATTTCCAAACATTGAGGCAGAACACTATATTTGTGATAAATGTCGTAAGCGTATATCACAAAAAAATATTGAAAATATAAATTCTGATAGCGAATATGTAAATAATATCCCCACAGCATCCGCATCAATAGATACAATCAATTTAACCTTAAACGAAATTGGAATATCTCCTATTAAGAAAAAAAAACTAACTGAAAAAAATTATCCAAAAAAAGATAGCAAAAATATCAAAAGCTCTTTCAGATATAATAATTAACAATCCAGAATCGCACACAAAAGACAATAATGATATACTCAACAATATGAAATTACATTATTCTAATTTATCTAAAAATAAAAAATATCAATTGCTGACCATTCTGCTTCCTAATTGGAGTGCAAATAAAATAAAAACGGAATTCAACGCTACATATCATATGGCATATAATTCCAAAATCATTTTAAAAGAAAAGGGGATTCTTTCAACTCCAAATCGAAAGCCTGCAAAATATCTCAATCAAAACAGTTGATATTGTTAAAAGTTTTTTTTGCAGTGATAAAGTTAGTAGGGTATTACCAGGAAAAAAAGATTGCTTATCTATCATTGAAAAGGGGGAACGAGTGAACGCTCAAAAAAGGCTAGTTCTTAATAATTTAAAAGAATTATATAGTCATTTTAAGGAGGGTAATTCAAGCATAACAATTGGATTTTCGAAATTCGCAAGCTTAAGACCAAAAAAATTGCATATTGGCAGGGGCTAGCGGAACACATAGTGTATGCGTTTGTAGCATACACCAGAATATTAATTAATGATTTTAGGCTGTGAATTAGCAACATTGACTAAAAATGGTGAGGATATATTAACAATGTTATAGGCAGAATGATTTGCAACCCCCCATTACCAACCTGTTATTTTGGTGACTGTAGCGAGTGTCCTGGCTCGACACTCTTAAAAGAACGCATTGAAAAATTATTTATAAAAAATGATATAGCTCTTATTACGTTTAAACAATGGGTTTCGGTAGATAGAACAACTCTGGAGACTATTTCTCAATCTTCAGACGAATTTATTAATTAAGTAATATCTTTCATGAATTTTTATTTATCTATTATATTTACAAATTAATAAAATAATTTTACGAAATTTAAAATTATTAATGCTGGAAAACCTTATTATTTATGTTTAAAATGGAAAAAAGTTTAAAAAAAATAATAATTTTAACAAAACGCGTTATTTTATAAAGGAGCGCCATCTATTTTTGAAAATAATATTTATTTTTTGATTTTTTAAATCGCAATAACTAAAAAACCCATGGCTGTCCCAAGTTTAAATTTTTTTTATGAATAGATATAAGGTTAGAGAATAAGAAAATATTAAATTCAAAAAAATTTGGAAAGCGAAACACTTGGAGTTTTCATGTTAAAAATTTATAACTTAAATAAAAACCGCAACAATATTATTTTGAAAAAATTTTTAATATTCAATAAAAGGCCCTTAATAGAGTTATAAATTGACATATAACTTATATTTTAAAAATCATTATTTTTTAACTTATCTCAATTTTAAAAAATCGCATTTTTCGAAAAAACGTCATTTTTGGCACTTTTGACCATTCATATCTCAGGAACTATGAGTACTAGGAGGCTAAAATTTTTTTTCGATGCTTTCTAATGATATTCTCTCAGTATACAAAATTTTATCGAAATTAAAAAGGTTGAGCCAAAAGTTATCGATTTGGTATGGAATTACCCTATTGCCAAATTTTTTTAAAATCCTGTCCAACTGAGTTTGAATAAATAATGTACTTAAATGTGGTCCTGATCAACCTTAAAATATCTATCTCTTCAGGTGTGCTATAATACTGTATTTAACATTATAAAACGATTATACATAAAAAAAAATAATGCCTAAAAAGAGCGCCATCCTTTGAGGTTTTCATCCCAAATTTATTCAAACGAAATAATTTTTATTTTCTTAATATTTAAATGTATTTGGAATATACATTTCCAAAATAGTCCTAGTTTTAAAGGCTAATTTTTTTTATCATATATACATCAACACCAAAAAAAATTAAATATCTCATTAAGAGAATCTTAAGGGTTACAGGATGATATATAATTTATACATTTATCGAGTAATTTGAGATTATTAAAACTTCAGATGGCTCTTGTATTGGACTCCAAAAATGAACAAAGTCCAGTAGAAATACTATTAAGAATTAAACCTAGAGGATAGCTAGAACAACATTACTCTGCATCCACTGGATCTAGATCATTAACCTTAAGAATTAATTAGGCTAGACTCTATTTCATCATCATACAAAGTTTCTTTCTTATCAAATATATGGTCAAGTACTTTCAGAATTTGCACAGTTTTTTAATAACGTAACATTTAAATTACTTTATCAGCATAAAATCGGAAATTTGGTTCTGAGGCATTTTTAAATGTTTGGTTCTCTTATTTTTTTAATAATATCTCAACTTATTTTCTATTATTTTTCACAACTGTTGATTTTTTTAAAATACATGCTCTTGATTTAGAAACTTCAAATGACGGGTAAACACTCAGCCAACATTCCCCCAAGCAATTTTATATGTACCAACGTTTCCACATCTACCGAAAAATCGACTCTAAACGTTGAAGAAACCACTTACCAAATTCATAAAAACAATGATCTCAAAAGTACTTTTTTAAACTAAAACTATACTCATTCGAATATAGTTTAACTGAATATCCACCCACTGATTCTCACTTTTTAAATTTTAGAACTAATTGATTAGCAAAAACTTTTTCATTAGCATCTTGTATAAAAATCCGAGTTTTTTTTAACTTGTCGATAAATTATTTTATTATGGATTATAAAATAAAATACATAGTTGGATAAATAAAATATGATAATTATTTGCTTTTCTTTAAATTTAGTTTTTCGTTGCCTTTACAATTTCCTTAGTAAGACTATATAAGTTTATGAAAATTTCAAATGGTTTTGGTTCCCATATTTGTTTTATTTCCCCACTCCACTTTGTTTTTATTTAAATAATAAAACAATTTGTAAAAAATTTATTCTTCTGGAAATGGGAATTAATTTATAAATTTTGATAATGATAATATGTTTAGCTTAAATGTAGTTATGTTTTATCATATTTTTCAAATAACTATCCAAGAACATCGTTTTTATAATATGATCAGCACCTCCAAAACTAAAATAAAGGATCAACAAGAAAATTAATATGCCCCTAAAAAAGGACCCCAAACAAGATTGTTATTTTGGCTTTATTTTAAGTTACCTTTTGATCATACCTAATATGGGACCTGTATTTTATTTTTGATTTTTAATTTCGATTGTATCATATACTTATTATATATGTTACTTGTTTTTTTATGATAAATAGACAACGTTCAAAATACTTTATTAGAGAAAGAATTCGACATGTTTAGTGATAACTTTGAGGTAAAAGATATTTTGATATGACCATATGTTATATTAATATAATTAAATTATTTTATCTCTCAGTACGAGAATGACTTGATATATTTCATATAATTTCACCTTTATCCTAAAATTTATTTATAAGTGTTTAAGTTCGTTTTCTGATCATTCTGAATTTATAATTATTAACCAGATTGACAGATTTGAAACAAATTAGTTTAAACCGATATTATTGATAATTTAAACAATATTTTCAACATATTTACTAAAGTATAATAATTAAATATATTGATAATCAATATTAGGTCATAAAAAATTCTTAATGAACTGATTTTATTTTATATTTCAAATTTTGACTTAAGAATAAAAATAATAATTGCATAATCAATCAGAGATTTGAACCGTTTGACAAAAAAAGGGTCCATGTTCAGAGAACATAAAAAAATGACTCTTTCATTCATTTATTATTATTGTTATACACATTCATAATTTACAAATAAAAAAATTAAAAATGAAATAATTTATATTTTTTATATTTTATTCAGTCGCACAATCATAATATCTTATAAAATATCATCCTTATTGTTATGTTCTATCCCCCCCCCCCTTATTTCTTTTATTTTTGTTTCTACTTGTTTCTTTTGTTTTCCCATCTTCCTTTATTTTGTTATGAAATTAATATATTATACCTTATTTTTATATTGCATTTGAAACTGGTTCTTACCAGTTTCATGAATGATTATATCGCGATTAAATAACAACTTTTTTTTTCCTTTTTGTTTTAAAAATTATAAAGGTGGAAAACAAAACACCATTAATGATGAATGATTTTTCGTGCGTTTTAAATTGAATTTCTTTTTTTGTTGTAATTTCACTTATTCGAATAAACTTTGAAAATTACGTTGTCCAAGTGATTTCATGACTAAATCGATAAAACCCGGCCCCCTGGATCCAGTCATTGACCATTCCGGACCCCCGATCACGGACTGTATTATTCCCATTCAGACTGGGGGACCCATCGGTCCAAACACAACACTTATATTTCCACGTATTATACAATATATATTTCAAAGATGAAAATCCACGTTCTACGCAGATCTAAAATAGTTATATCTTATTGTATTCATGTCAGCGGTACAGCCATGGACGAATCTAGACAAGATATATAATTCTGGATATATTGAAGAATTTTAAAATATTTGTATCTTTATCTCTTAACTTCTGAGAACTTTTCTATTAATGATGCAATAGGCATTTTTTTGATCCCCCTTTCTATCTGATGTTAATTTGATTTTCTTTCTCTATCTAAAAGTAAAATTTCAAGATCATCAATGTTGCTATCATTATAATTATTATCACTACAACCAGTCATAGCCTCCAATATATTGTAAATGATGAAGTTTTGTGTATGCCATAAATCCTTAAGATGGGCTTTTTGTTTTGCTCAATACTCAAGAAAACTTGATATCGAGGGTCTAAATATATAGAAGCAAATACAACACTATTTTGCAAATATTGTTGCTCTTAAATTTTCATGTTTTCTTATATTTCATATGAAAAAGGACTAGTAAATCTTTCTATAAATTAGATGAACATAATTGATCGTAATCTTAATGTTGTTATTTTTAAAGGAACTAATACACTAGTAAGGTCCTTATTGGTACCAATCATATTCTTACAAAATAACTTCACATGCTTCTATGATGAAATCATTATAGAAATCTTTCACACTTAATAATCTTTTTACCATCATACAAATTGAGGATCAATGTGCAATGCAATTTAATATTGCCATTGACCTTTTCATTGATTTTAATATTCTTACAATTGTGAGAGTTCTTAAATAAGTTTTAAAGTGATATTTTAGGCATTCATTAATAGCCTATTGTAGAGTATGGGCTGCACATCTGATGCAATATATATTTGTGGGGAAATCTATTAATAAATCACATAATAAAATATTATTACCTACACTAGTAAATAATTTATGATATCAATCTCTAAATTAAATGGAAGTCCAGGAAGAAAATTGAAAGAAAAATGCGAAGATAAAATAAATGATTCCACGAAAAAAAGTTAAAAAAATTTATATTATTTTTTAAAAAAATATTTGTTTTTAAATTTTTTTATGACACCTACCCTTGGACCCTTCACTTTTAAAAAAGGTCCGAGTTCGGGTACAGACAAAATATGAGTGTCCGGCTTCACATCCCTGTAATCAATATTTATTACAGTTTGAAGTTTGGATTAAGTTAAATCGTAAAATTGTTTTTTCTGCTATTTCAATTCTCAAATAATTTTTTTATGTACCACTTTAAATAAAGAAAAAAAATTTTCGACAGAAGCTGATAATGAATATGATGTGGACAATGTTTTACTATACCTTTATATTATATTTGTGAATTTTAATCTCACATGACAATCACCATTCAAGTGTTTTCAATTTATTTAGAATGTAATCTGATTTTTGCGAATGGGTCAAACCTTATCTGGAACCTTACCAAAATTGGAGACATTGATGTTTGGAAATATCAATTTGCCATTTTTTATTATTTGCTAAATTATATTTCAATTTTAGCCAAGATTTCAAATAAATTAAAGGTTTTATAACAAAATGGCATTAATAAATGAACCGATGTTCTTTTATCAACATTATACCTTGCATAGTTAAAATTAGATTTATAAATATGAACTAGGGTTTTACATTTGTGAGGACATTAGATATATTTAGGGCTGTGTCGATCCACATATTTTTACCGATCCTATATTGCTTCAAAACCAATCCGATATTTATATTGATTTTTCACCACCCCTCTTTGAACCAAATGTAATTAAGAAATCAATATTTTTTATGCAAAAGAATTATGCGTTTAATTTAATTTTTTTATTTCAACAATAATAAATTATATTATAATAGATAAAATAAATATAATAATTTATCATTTTATGTTGGTTTATAAAATTGTAATATTTATCATATAAAATTATAATATATTAGATTTTTTAAAATTAATATAAGAACCTCTAGATTTTCAGGCAAAGGATCAGAATATTTCCACTAATATTAGTTTTATTAAGAATAGTTGATATTGTTATCTGACTTTCAGAGCTCTTTTTTTTTTAAATTTTATTTGTTTTTTCTAATATTTCTCATATATTTTTGTATTAGCTTTTCGAATTCCGTTTGATGGAATCGCTTTTTATGTTTCCGAATATTTGTTGTATTAAATGAATTTTTCATTAATCCTTCCCATGAAATTAGAATTCCGCAGATAACGCATTTTGCAAAATTATATTTATCTTTATCAAAATAATTCTTTTATTTAAAGTATAAATAATAAAATTGGTATTATTTTTTAAAAAAATTTAAAATAAATAAAACTTTGGGTGTTCCTTTCTATTTTTATGAAAAAACTTTTAAAATCTATTTAAAAAAATAAATAAAATTATCTAGAAAATATTATTAATTAATGTAAAATAGAAACTCACCGAAACTCCGAAAAATTTATTATTTTTATTAAAAAAATAATAAATATGATGTAATAATAATTCAAAGTTTCATTACTCAAAAGTTTTAAGAATTGCATTTTTAGTAAATGGATCGGATCGGGTTTTTACAGATATCGGCCCGATCCGATATTTTTGGAAAACGCTAAATATCGGTACCGATTCGATATTTAATATTGCCACTGTTCTAGATATTTAATAGCAAAACTATATATGGGCTAGGAGTAGCATATATCAGTTATCTGGTTTGATAATTTTATTTATACTAGGTGTAAATATAGGCTTATTGGTAAATTACAAAATTTATTTTACCAGTAAATTAATTAAAATAAAATTTAATTTATAATATTATTGGAAATTTTGTTATTAACTGATAAATTATTTTTTAAATACTGATCATTTAGTATAAAATAATGAGGAAATAATAATTTATATGTTCAAACGTCTTTATATTTTGATAAATAACGGCTAACAAAACTAATATTAGCTATCCTATTATATTTAAAAAGTTTTCTAATATAAGTAACACAAGATTTTTATTATTTTTGTAGCTACAACACTAAGCCACATCTATAAATGTTATTTTATATTAAAATAAGGTCGATGAAAGTATTGCATTTTTCATTTTTTTAGAAATTAAGTTTTTAAGTCTTTCCTTGGTAATTAAAACCTTATTTATCAGATTTCATTTTAAATCAAGGTTATTAAATTAATTTTATCAGCATGGCAATGATATTGTAATTTTTTATAAAATTATATTTTATTACAAAATATTGAGGCTGACGTGAGCAATGCACAGTCCTTGCCTTTCTAAGGATAGAGTCCTTGTGTCGCCTCCCATACTGAAAATAGAGCACTCTTTTGGCCTTAACCTTTTTCGTCAAGAATACTCTGAATCTGGACGTATTATATTATAAATTTGCTTATCTAATACTTTATATTTAAATGTTTGTTTATAATTATTTAGCTTATCATTCCAAACGACATAAATCCCCCTTTGATTCAGGATAAAGATTCTAACATACTCAACGATAACTACGACGATTCTGAAGGATATTATAGTAAGTATAAATACAAATCATATAATATTTTTCTAACAATTGTGATATATTATCCTGTATTTTAATATAAAACATATTAGAAATCTATTCTCGGTTCATCCTTTGTATTTAGAAAATTTATATTATGTAGTATTGTTAACGAATTTTTTTAGTCGGAAACTGCCACAGGGTTGAAAATTCAGTCAATTCGAGGCAAATGCTTCTTATCCTCCTACAGAAATCTGTCCTCTGGGGGGGGGGGGGTTATGGAGAAAGATTGTCATTGAAATTGGAGATGAAAACGCTAGGGGTATTTTAAAAAATGGAGGGGGTAATTATAATTTGGATTTTTACTAACTTTGATTTGGTAGAAGGGAGTATAGGGGTTAATAAAATTCGATTAAGGGGTAATATCGTAAATGGTCTAGGAAGTGTAAAAGTATCTGCCACCTCTCATGTAGGTACTGACCTAAGTTGAGTTTGTCTTATTTTTATAAAAATATATTAAAACACAATAGATTATAGTTATTTAATGGTTAAGCAAATAATAATTATTCATACAGAGAGTTATCAGATTATCTCCATAGCGTTGTGATGGAAGATCCCTTTTGCCACTTAAAACCACTCAAAAAATGTAATTAATTTATATAGGGCTCTCATCTATAAATATTGTAAAAATAGGTAGTTTATGCAACATTTTTTTGTACTATTTAAGCTTTCTGTAAATGGCATGTTATGGGTATTAGACTCCATCAGAACAGGTATTCAAACCCGAATCGAATCTGAACCCCGTTTATAATATTTGCAAAACCCCCGAATCCGTGAATTTTATTTGAACCCTGGTTCAACTGGGTTTTATTGTTTAGAATCATATATTAAGATATGTGTTTAAATACAAATATTAGTAATTTAATTGAGAATTTATAATATTTTCAAATTTCCAATTAAGTGAAGTGTTGATAAATTTTTAAAACTTATTTAATTTATTCTTAAAAATTCCTATTAGAGTGTTAATAAATTTTAAACAATTAAATGCATTTACGCCATTTATTTTTAACTTATTCTCAATGATTATTAATTAGATGAAAATGACAAGTCAAAGTAAAAATTCATTAAATTTTTTAAATTGATACATGACTATGCTTTGTATTCAGAGTTGGGCAGTACCGCGAATACTTGTATCTAAGATACAAGATCCTTTTGTATCTTGTACTCAGTATCTTTTTGACATTATTAATAAGATACTAGTATCTGTATCTAAGATCCTTTATTCTGAAAAGAATCTTGTATCTTTTTCATTTTATTGACAAAAGGTACAGATACAGATTTTTTAATATTCATGTTTAAAATTTTATATATCACAGTATATATCTTATTTTCTTCGAGAATCTTATATTAATTTCCTTAGTTTTTTTTTTAAATATAATGTCAAAATTAGTTGAAAAATTTACAATTCATATTAAGGTAGATATAGTGTTGTTAAACGGCCAACTCAATATTTTAGCCAGAAAAATATTGCCTAAGCCTCGAGATTTCGTAAATGTATGCCTAGACCTTTGTTCCTTCTATGAGCAAAATCTTCAGGCTTGCGTAAGATCTTTCTGTGTGAAATAATGAATTAGAAGTTTTTTGTGTGAAATAATGAGTTAGCAGTTTTTAAAAATCGGCTCAAAACAAACCGTTTAGTAACACTAGGTAGATAGATAAAAAATAACAGCACCAAAACGAAATAAGTAAAGATTATATTTTATATATAAATTTTATTCAATAGAGTATCATTACCAATTTTATGTAATATTTTTTTAATTTGTAGGATGATTAACACTCATGGTAGTAAAATTTAAATTATGGAAATAAGTTCCCGTAAATCAAATCGAAATCTAAAAATTTTATATAGAAATTTTTTAAAAATAAAAGTTAAAAAAGACAATGTACAGGCTAGATGTAAAACATGTATAAACAAAAAAAAGGATAAATGGTTAAATAAAAATTTTGTTAAACATATTAAAGTATATTATTTATGTGTGGTTAAAAAGAGCATAAGTTATCTTGAATATTGAAGTTTATAATATTGCTACCTTTATTAAAAGCTGCCTAAGGTCGTATGAGAAATTGATTTTAAGAAAATATTTTTCTATGATTTGAATATAATAAGGTTTTTTGACATCAATATCACATCCATATTTTAAGAACTTATGAATTGAGTCAGAAGTTAAAAACAAATACTTTCAAAATATAATAATAAAAAAGTTCTAATTGTAGACCAGAGTATATAATCAAGCTCAAACTATAACACCGATACATTTAACGATTATTTTTCTTTTGGTGAAACAAATGTTGCTAAGTTCAATTACAAAGAACATTGAACGGGAGGCTTTAAATTATATTAAAGAAAGTCGAAATACATTATAAATGCTTAATTATTATCCTTTCATTAAGGAAAATTTTTATAAATATAATATTGCAATACCTTTATCAGCACTAATTGAAAGATAATTTAGTTTTGGCACAGTAGGCCAAAACGGCAAAGGTCTAATGATAAATTATTTGAAATTGATTATCTTATAAAATAATGAATCTATTAATATTTGAACTCCCATTAAAATACTAGTTCTCCCTTCCCTATCTATTCTAAGAATTGTCTATTAATAATTAAAATGCCTGATTATTATAATTAACTCATCATTAAATATTTTATTAATTATTGCAAATACTTATTCTTGTTATATGCGTATGTTATGTTCTTCACAAATAAATAATAAAAACTGTATTTTATAAACTTTTATTTAATTGATAATGATAATTTAAAAGTATCTTGTATTTCAGATACTCTAATTAGGCAAAAGATACAAGTATCTTTTATCTTGTATCTTTTTGATATTTTGAAGAAGATACTAGTATCTGTATCTAAGATTCATTTTTTCACAAAGAGGACCTGCCCAACTCTGTTTGTATTTAATTATATTTTGCTTATAAATTAAATAAAAAATTTATTTTTTATGCCAAATTTATATCGAGTTTTTTAAATATGATTTAAATATAGAATTTTTTTTTATAAATTCAAAAATTCTTAAACCCGAGCTGAACCCAGGTTCAAAAATATTTCCCTGAACTGAACGCCGAACCCGCTTATTTTTATTTTACTTTAAACCGAACCGGGGCAAAAATTTAGCCGGGTTCGCATCCCTGCATCAGAATAAATACTTGGGCTTTATTTATCCTTCCCTCTTTATTATATATTAGCTTATTAAAATACAAATCAAATAATTTATTGTTTGCATTTGATGAAAGCAATAGTATTTGTTTAAGCATTAATATTAAAATAAATGTTGCCTTATCTATAATCTTTATGGATAAAATTATAAGAAGTTTCTCTATATAATTCTAAAAAGTTTGCATGCTAAAAATTCGAACTAGTTTATTAGATTATTATTTCGAATTAAGCCTGAACCTTAATCGTCTGGAACCTGAAAACATTTATTCGTTTTGGTTCAGATACTTAGTCATTAACAATTAAAAGCATATTAATTTATATTTATAATGCCAAGTGAATTTTTAAGGCAGACTTTCTTCTTTAGGACGTTAGTAGTTCAAAATGAGAAAAAAATTTCATAAACAGTTTATGTGTCTAGTCACATTACCTCTCAGATTGACATATTATCAATAAGAATGAAATGATTATTAAACACATCGAATATTTCAATTATTTGAATAATACTATGCGATTCGAATGAAACAAATCATTCCTTTTTTTTATTTAAATCTAATTCGTATTCATAACTATTCGATTTAATTCCAATTATTCTAAATGGATCGAATATTAAATTCGTTAATAAGTAAGCCTATTATATATATAATTAATTATTCCTTGTTACACTCATTACTTTAAAATTAGATAATTTTTTAAATTTTTTTTTCAGAATAGTAATTTATAAAATTTTAAAAATAATTATATATGATATAATTAATGCAATAATTAACAGGATATCGATCACAAATTATTATAGATATTCTGACAATAAAATTCTATTATGTGGACCATTCTTTACATATTTACACGGTTTTAAAAATTTCTGTAAAAACTTTACAGTTGCTTATTAACTGAATATTTTATAGTACAGATTGACACTTCATTTGGGAAGAAATTAATTTATAGTGACTTGAAATCTATTTGTAAAGAAATGAATTATTTTTTAAAAACTTTCCCCGTTTTTATATTCATTTAAAAAATTATAGAAATTTAGGGTTTTTTCTCCAGATCTTTATGTTCAGGACACTTCTGACCGATTACCTAGAAATCACTCCATTCTAACTATAATAGAATCAATTAATTTTAAAGGCAATTAATAATATGATTAATTGTATTCAAATATATTGTTAATTATATTCAAATATATTGTTAATTGTGTATGATGATTAAATGATGTATTTAGATTGATTTGTAAAAGATATATAAACGAAGTACAAAAATATAAAGCAGTTAAAAATATAATAAATTGTTCTATAATAGACAAATATGTCATTGGCGCAGTTTCAAATGGATAAATTTAATATAAAGGAGTGCGAGATGGAAGTTTATTTATCAAAGATGGAATTCATTTTTAAAATCGCCAAAATAGACGACAAAAATCGTTTTTATTACCAAATATTGGATCAGAAGTTTATTCAAAATTATTTACTTTGTGTTTACAGAAGACATTAGATGAAATATTATGTGATGATATAATTATACTTTTGAAAAATTATTACAAGAAAACTAATTTTATGCTAGAGAGATATTATTTTTTCCAATCGGAACAAGAAAAAGGAGAAACGATTACAGTATATATAAATAAATTAAAAGATAAAAGCAAATCGTGTGATTTTAAGGAGATGTATAATACAGTATTGCTGGCTAAATTAGTGTCGGAAATTACGAATGAAAAAATATTAATGAAATTAAACAACACTCCAGACTTGACATGAAAAGGGCTGATCAAATCGCTACCTCAATAGTGACAACGGAAATGACTTCATATGAAAAATTATCGGCAGGAAAGTAGATAAATAAAATTGCAAAACAGTGACAAAGGAGCATTATGACAAGTATAAACCAGTATCAAAAATTATTTGTTATTGATGTGGATTAGAAACCACTTAAAACCCGAGTGCTTAAATTTAAATGCAATTTACAGAAAGTATGCTGAAGGAATCGTGGTGAGAAAAAATATATTGATTGATAGATATCTCAGAAAAGGAGCTAGAAAGTTTTGAGGATTGGGATTCTCTAGAGGAGTCGCTTAAAAAATTAGAGGTGAAATTATTGATAGATAAAATATATATTAATTTTTTTGACACCGGATCGGCAATCTTCATTTTGAATATAGAAGACTACCGTTTAAAAATATCAGTAACAAAAACGGATATTATTTTAAATCTTATAATAATGTAATGATTGATATTCTAGATAAATGTATATTACCCATTAATTATAAGAATAAAATTATATACCATGAAATTATAACAATGGTATTAATTTGATAGATACAAATTTAATAAAATCAATGTAATACAAATGAGGTTTGGGGGAATAATATTAGAAAAAATTTCCATCACTGAAAGAGTTTAAAGCAAGTTTATCGATAAAACTCAATTAAATCTAAAAAAATATCATTTTTTAAAGAAAAGATTGAATTCTTAGGTCATACCATTAGCGAAGAGGGAATCACAACAACAAGAATGTCAATGTAATTTTAGACACTCCATTACCTAAAAACGTTAAAGAACACTCATATCACTACTTAATCGACATAAAAGAATAACAGATGTCATCAAAATTAATAAGATGGTCATTACTACTATAAAATTATTATTATAAATTGCAACTTCGAAGGACGTAAAAAAATAGTAATTTATGTATGCTTTCCCGTTTTCCATGACGGTGCCTGGGAAGAGTTAGATATTAATTTAATAATATCGGATGCTCCACAATTTATTTCAGCATTAGATATAAAATCACACAAGAAATGACCCGGTATTATCAAAGGTTTCACATTACATTACAACTAGATGGCTGAAGATAATAGAGGAAAACCCGTTTTTCCAGCACTGAAATGTACTCACGATGGAGGCAGGGTGTATATTATGGAGATCAAGAACGATAATTTTTAAAAAAATTACAAGTAAATATTTTGTCTTTTTTACATATGGGGCATCAGGGTTATACTAAATCAGAATTATTGGCCCTAAGAGAACGTTTGATGGCCGAATATTAACGAAGACATCGAATTACATGATATGAATTGTGAATTATGTCAAACAAATAAACCTGTCTGTAAAACGATCATAAGGAAATGGGAAATTATTTAGATTTTGCCAGGCCAATTAACTGAGATATATGTCTAGAATAGATAGTTTTAGTAGATTGCCTGAAATATAATAGCTGTCCACAAATAATTTTACTGAAGTAAGAAAAATGTTAAGACTTTTTGTTATTTTTGGTTACCCCAATACGATTATTGGGATAATGGGCCCCCATTTATAAGTACAGAATTCAGTTTATTTTGCAAACAAATATCAATTAGATATGTATATAGTGCCCCTTATCACTCCATTACCAATTGAGAAGCAGAGCGGTTAGTACAAACTTTTAAAAAACATAATGATTCTAATAAAATACAAGATTTTCTGTTAATTATCGAAATACGCCACAAAACAATCACCAAGTTCAATTTTGCTTAAATTTCAACCCATAGGACCCTTACAATTAATAAAACCAATTTATCCTCATCCATACGTATCCTGGGTTTTTTAATATAAAGAGAAAATATATGCAAAAGATTTAAAAAAATAGGACCAATGACGTTTTTAGCTGAGACTAAATTAGGTTTGTGGAGAAGACATATTAATATTAAACAGTTAAAACATAGTTTCGACGATTCCTATTTAAAAAAGGAAGGAAGCGAAGGAGAAACTATGCTAAATACACCACGAATGAATGAAATTGATACTATACAAAACTCGATGACCAAAGACATTGATCCTATGCACGAGACCAAAGAAATTGATCTTATACAAGACTCAATAACCAAAGATACCATCATAAATGAAGAGATTGAAATCGACAGTATAGATCAAGGAGTGATAAAGAACGAAAGTACAAATAGCCGTTATCCAAAATGGATAAGATAACAATTTATACCATTCCAAATATATTGCCCAAAAAGGAGAGAATAGATGTAATAGAATCAATTAACCTTAAAGGCAATTGATGATATATGATTAATTTAATTCAAATATATTGTTAATTGTGTATTATTAATTGATGTATTTAGGTTGATTTGTAAAAGATATATAAACTGAAATACAAAATATATTAAAGCAGTTAAAAATATAATAAATTGTTCAATAATAGTCAAATATGTAGCTAATCAATAATATATTCTCTATAGTATATAATTGTTTAATGGTTTTATAAATTTGTGTGACGAAAAATACGCTTCAACTTTATTGGTAACATTGTTTGTCTATTGTTAATACTTTTATTATTTTATTAATTTTATTTAAGCAGTTAAAATAACTCTAGATTTGTTCTAAAAAAATTCATACAATCTTAATTAAATCACATTATATATTAAATAAGAGTATTATGTGAAGCATTGTAATTAAAAAAAGTTAAACAATTATTATGAGACATTATAAATTAAAGTTAACCGACTATTTTTGAAATGTTTTAGCGTTCTCTTTCCTCTCGTTCCATAAATAATCTCAGTTTTTGGTTTGCATTACATATATTTTACCTAGATTAAAAATATATGTGAAATATTAGAGATCAGAATAGGAGAATTATTGGACAATCGATATTCTGTTTATGGAGTGACAGGCCAAGGAGTCTTTAGTAATGTGCTATGTGCTAGAGATACAACCAAGAACAACCAAGAAATTGCCGTTAAAATGATAAGAAGCAACGAGATCATGTAAACAAATTATGATAACCTTATAGATTAAAACCCTTAAATGATTGCACTATTATAAATAAAAATAATAATTAAAAATAGCGTTTATTATATTTTATTTAGGCACAAAACTGGGATAAAGGAGTTGGAACTAATTAAGAAGTTAAATGAAATAGATGTTCAAGACAGATATCACTGCATACGATTAGAGCGTCATTTTTACCATAAACAACACCTGTGTCTTGTATTTGAATTATTAAGGTATTTACATGAATCTAAATAATAATCATATATGAGTGAGTGAACATACTAGAATAGCAAAAACGCCGTTGCATTTACTTTTATTATCCCTGAACCTTAAACTATCATGATCGGAATTAAAGATATCTGACAATTTAAGAGGTTTAGGGATAATAGCCCTTATTATTTTAGCATTCCTAGTAAAACTCCCTGTTTACATTTTTCATCTCTGGCTTCCTCTCATGTGAAAGCGTTAACGTCAATTTATTGTTCCGTCGTTTAGTTTCTTATAATCGAAAAAATAATATTCGAAATAAAAAAAGGATAAATTATATAAATAAAACTAAGGAAAATATTGTACGAACCCGAACCTGGGTTATTTCATTTTAAACACTTTAAAAAAATGATCTGAACTAGAGAAGCGAATACTTAGCAGAGACTCCGCTAATAGTAGGAATCCTGACATCGACGCTTATATGGGGCATAATTATATCTAGAATTGGAATGTGCTTAAACAACGGAAAAATTATAAATGCTACTCTAGAATTCCCCATATAACTTTTTTGGCTATTAAAATTTTATTAATTTCCCTTTTTCTTTAAAGGAGTATATCTCATAGTTTAATTAGTTTTCTAGTTTTTTATTTAATATATAATAAAATGTCTACTCGGAATATAATCTTAGTCAAGTCCCAGATCAACATAAAATCTTTATGCATCTCACTAATCCATTTTATAATTCTAGTGTTTAACATTCCTTGCTCCCCCTCCTTCTTTTAACCTGTTCTCTAAGATTATTATTATCTACAATTTAATAAACTTCTCTGCCTTATATTATTTTTAATACAAATATTTTGATTTTAATTTCCAGATTTATTTTTACTTGAATTATATTCCACTCTTATATTAAGATCCTTTTTATTTTTTTAATCCTATCATTAATCATATGACAAGGGGTTGATTATATTATTTGTGAGCTAATTTTAAACCTTTAATAATGATTTTTATAAAATCATATACTCACAATTCATAAAAAAATAAAAAGGGGATGTGATATTAAAATGAATTTTTGGTTTGTATGGCTATAATATTTAATTTATTTATTGTCTCCATAATTTATGGTAATCATCCCAAGAATAGTTATACTCATCTTGGGGTGGATTGTCTTAGGGCTCATTTCTTCTAATTATACTCTACCAAAATCATTCAAAGCAACTATAACTATGAATCAATCGAGTTGATGATATTATGATCATCCTATCTATATTTTTCCCCCAATAATATTGATATAGTTACTAACATCAACATTTCCCTTAACCGACAACTTTACCCTTATTTTAGTCTTATATAACGCTACTGGCAGCTTTCATCAAATCCGCCCATTAGTTCACTCTCAGCTAGAACTATAAATCAAATAATAATTTTACTAATCATAGCTGTCAATAAACTTTTTTATGTTTAACTCTTCTAATATCCCATGATATCTTTAAAAGTAATTTATTCATAAGAGCAGGAAGAGTTTTTCACTCCTATAACAGCTCCCAAGTCACTCGCAGTAACCCTATTATCTCAAGTAAATTAACCTCTCAATCTTTTATCTCTTATAGTTTTTACTTGTTCTATGGGTTTCTTTCTAAAGAACATTCATTAATAGAAACTAGTGGTTTCTATTGTTTTCTCATATGAGGTCTAATTTTCCTATCTGTATTTTTAACAGTTTGATACCCCTTTCGTATTTTTAAAGTCTAAAATTTTGAGGAGAGTGGACCCTTATCAAAATTTATAGATTTCCATTATAAATGAGCTCTCTCCCTTTATTGATTTTAGGGGTAGAAGAGATATTATATTTAATTTTATCATCCTTTCTTCCTCTTGGGAGATATTCATATGAAACCCCATATCCAACTATTTTGTTCTTTATGCCCCTTTGATTCCAGGATTTCTATCTGCAGTATTTGTCGTAGATGGAAAATCCTATGAGTTTGGAAAATGATTTAATGATATATCTCCTTTTTAAAAAATTTAAGCTATTTAAAAATTATATCGCAAATCTTATATTTCTGATAAGATTCAGCAGATAGAAACTTTCATTATTTATAATTTTTAAATAGAAAAGATGCTAGAATATGAAAAGAGGGGATGCCAAAAAAATAATCTAATGATATAACCCCTTTTGAAAAATTTTAAACTATTTAAAAATTAGATTGCAAATCTTATATTACTGATAAGATTCAGCAGATAGTTGTTTTATAAATTTAGCTAAATATTAACCATGAGTGCATTCATTTATTAAACGATCTATTTTATAGCATGAACTTACGAGAAGTCCTGAAAAAATATGGCAAAGACGTTGGTCTTCACATTAAAGCTGTTAGATCCTACACACATCAACTCTTATTATCTCTAAAGTTACTTAAAAAATGCAATATCATACATGCAGATATCAAACCCGATAATATATTGGTACTTATTAATTTTATATTACATTACAGCGAGCTTCTCTTTTTTATTCCAAAATCTAACAGGAAACATCAATATATTATAAAAATTTAAAAAAACGTTCTTTCAGGTAAACAGCAATAAATTATTACTCAAACTTTGCGATTTTGGTTCCGCCTCATACAACAACGAAGTCGAAATTACACCATACCTCGTCAGCCGTTTTTATAGGGCTCCAGAAATAAGTAAACCAGACATTTCATTGAATAATATTGCTTTTGTAAAATTTGCTATTTATCGGCTAAATTTTCAATTATTAAATAATAACTGCATTATCTTTAAAGTTTTGGGCAAGGAATACGATTGCAGCATAGATTTATGGAGTATAGCCTGCACTGTCTACGAATTATACACAGGTCGTATACTCTTCCCAGGCAAATCCAACAACCAAATGCTCAAATTTTTCATGGACATGAGGGGTGAAAAGTTTCCTAACCGAGTCCTCAGGAAGGCCCTTTTAAGAGATCAGCATTTTGACTCAAGTGGCAATTTTCTCTACCACGAAATCGATAAAATTACGCAAAAGGTCAGCGTTTAGTTTCACATTTCATTTAACTTACAATTTATTTATAAAATAAATCATTGATTAAATCTCCCTTATTAATAACATTTTTAAATTAATAATTAGGAATTTCTAAAATATTCTGCTTTTAAGCTAATACTAAATTGAATTATAAATATCGCATTTGTTCCATCCTGAGGTCTTTTCTAGATTTATATAAAAAAGATAGATCTCATTTATGGAAATATTATCTATAATTTTTTGGCTATCACTAGATATAATTAGACTTTGGCCATTTCCCTTCAAAAAATATTTTCAAAGTGGTCTTCTAGGCATGTTTTCAGCATTTTATTTATTGCCACACAAAAATAATATTTTGATTAAATAAAAAAAAATAAAAATATAATATTGCCATTATTTATTCGTTAATCATGACCGTTTATTTTTAATAACGATTAAATGGCATCTGGGAGAGTTTGTGTGTGATAAACTCATGTATAAAAAAATATATATGTATTTATTATGAAGTGTTTAAAGAATTTCTATCCTGGTTAGAAAATATATTTCACATTTTTCACACATAGTCCTTAAATATGTGCTAACACATAGTTTACACCTTTTTCGAGTTTTGGAAGCTTCTGGCCAATGCCATATATTATCATATAACTTCTGATATTACCTGAGATAACCTAGATCCTTTTTGTAATTTAGGAGTTTCATTTAAATGTCTCCCTATTTTTCTTTTACTAATTTTACCTGCCATTAATAAAGCAGGAACTATTTGAGATTTAAATGTTATAAGTTTTATAAAAAAAATTTCATTTTTTTGAAGTAAATGTCTTAGAAATAACCATGCATTCTCAATGCAGGTATCTATCTAATAAAATATTATTCAAAGATAGAACCTTCTACCTTTGATATCTACTCTGTAGCATTCCACTAGTGTATCATGTAAATCTACTCCTCCCATTCCTTTATTATATTTTTTTTAAATACAAGGCCTAGGGATCTGAATAAATTTTTTTCCCTTCAAGAATCATCGCCTCACATCTTTGGGTCGATACCATAGAAGGATGATATAACATGAACAAATTTGTTGTCAAACCATTTGACAATTATTATATTACTAGCTAATAACCCTTCAAGAATGACGGGGTTGAGGGGTAATTAGTTAGTTTGTATATATGGTACTAAATATGCTTTATAGTAAAATTTAAGATAAAAAGAGATAAAATGTTGCAATGTAACCCGTGAGCATTAAGGGTATTAGAAATATCAAAATTTAAATTTGTGATAGGAATCATATTGGGTAAAATTAAAAATAGAGATGCTTCTAAATTTTTGAATTTTAAATATGGGCTAGACATTGGTCTCAAAATTTTGTTTTGCAGACACAGCAGGCCTGATCAAAAAACCATGTCCTATACAACTTTCCCAATATTTTGCCATTTATTTCTATTGTAGACATTGACCTGAAATTTTTTTTGCAGACATAGCCAGGCCTGATCAAAAAACCAAGTCCCATGCAACTTTCATAAAATTTTGCCATTTATTTCTGTTGTAATTTAATAACAAATTTAATTTTATATTCCATAGAAATCATATTGGATAAAATTTTAAATAGATATGCTTGAAAATTTTTTAATTTTAAATATGGACCAGACATTGGCCTGAGATTTTTTTTTCTCAAACCTGGCCAACCCATAATAATTTTGTTTTTCCCAAGCCTGGAGATAGGTAAATCTCTGAAAACCATATTGTTGGGAAAATTTTCTCAAGCCCGCCAAAGACCATAATAATTTTCAGAGACCTGCAGGCCCGGCCCTAAGCCTGGCCTTATTTTAAATTTTATAAATATACCCGGGCCGGGCCTAAAAAATTTTTTTTAAAACATATCCGGGCCGGGTCTAAAAAATTTTTTTTTAAATATATTCGGGCTGGGCCTTAATATTTTTTATAAAAATTTTTACATTATGAGTTAATGGTTATAAGATTATGATTATATTATATTATAATTATGTAATGGTTAACACTACCTATTTTATAATTCATATCTAAATTTTTACAACATATTTTACCAAAACAATCAAATAAAGGAATATCTTAAATAAGCCCCAATATTCATGTATTATTAATATATTTTTTTATAATTCATATCTAAATTTTTAGAATATATTTTACCAAAACAATCAAATAAAGGAATATCACTTCTTGAAATTTGTAATACCTTTCAAAGCGAAAAAGGAGAAATAAAATTGATTTTACTTAATATAAAGCATTTTTTAATTGAAAAATTTGTTTTACACAAGTATCATTTTATTTCTCTTTTTCTCTGTCCCAAATTCAAGCAATTACGTATGTAGTCAGGGACAGATCGCAAGATGACGGAAAACTATATAAAAGATTATATTAAATTACAAGAGGCTCAGGAAGTAAATGAAATACCATAGACCAGTCAAATTGCGACTGTTGTAAAACAAACTGAATCGTTTTATGACAAATGGGGCGATGGTAATTCTGGTAATATGTCAATACCCGATGATGAATATTATAATTACATAAATAAAAAAATAGATGAAACATTTAAGGTGGATAATTTGTTAGAGTGGTGGGCGGCTCATCAAAGCGAATTTCCAATTTTAGCAAAATTATCAATTCCTGCTTCAAGTGCAAGCTGTGAGCGAAATTTTTCCACTACTGGGATAATTCTTGAAGAAAGAAGAAGTAATCTTCAACCTGAAAAGGTAGATATGCTTCTCTTTCTTCATGATAATTTGTGAATTTTTAATATCTTTCTTGAGTATAGGGTTTCGTCAATCATGCTGGTTTTTTACTTTGCAAACTGTCAAATATTTATTGCATTTATTATATTTACCTTGAGTCATGAAAGTTTTTAATCCAACATTTTTCATTATTTTTTTTTTACAATATTATATAATACAATTATCTTCTTTTGGTAAAAATTTATATTATAAAATAAATTATATTAATATTGTGCACGTAGATTATATTTTCAAAATACTATTTATTATACATGCATTTTTATAAATAGCTATTTATTTTTATTTTATAAATTAAACAGTAAATTAAATACAATATATTATATTCTCAAAATATTTTCCATTTTTATAAATTAAATATTAGTTTTATTTTTTTTAAATGCAATATAAAATATAGTATATGCTCAAAATATTATTACCAATTTTATGAATATTAGTTTTATTTTTATAAATGCAATAATATTATATGCTCAAAATATCTATTTTTATAAATAACAGTTTTATAATTTTTATAAATTCAATATAATATTCTCAAAATATTAGCTTTTTACATGTATTTTTTAAATAATAAGCGATAATACTTGCTGAAAAATATGGTAAAATACATAGGTGAATTTTTGTATATACCAGGTCGAATATAATTTATAAAAATTCCGAGCCGGACCTGAAATTTTTAAATCCTAAAAAATTTAAAACCGGGCTGGGCTGGGCCGTGCAAATGGTACCTCTGCAGGTCTCTGATAATTTTGTTAGTTGAGAACTGAAATAAAATATATAAAAGTCATAATTCAATTAAAAATAAAATCAATGAAAGTTGCATTGGCTTGGTTTTTTAATCAGGTCTGGTGATTTCTGCAGAAAAAAATTTTCAGGCTAATGTCTAGCCCATATTTAAAATTTAAAAATTTTCAATCATTTCTATTTTTATATTTTACCCAATATGATTTCTATCATAAATCTAAATTTTATTCTAAATATATAATTAAATTTAAGACATGTAAGGATGTTTGAGTAATATTTCATTGATCTTGATTTTCATTACTACTATACTTTGATATTGATGCAATAAGACTTTGCTCTTGTCTTTTCTTGCTTCGACAAAGTTCCTGTCTCTGTCTGGCTTTCTCCTAAGTTATGCATATCTTTTAGTGTTTATAATTTAAAATTCAAAATAGGTATTATTTTTTAATTTTAGCTGCCATGAAGGTCTGTATTGCCTTCTTTACAATATCTAGATTTTTAAAATAAATTTAGACAATCATTATTATAACACAACATTTCCTTGGATTTTTCTTCTATAGGGGCTAAAAATGATAATTTACAAAAGTTATGCATAGCTATTAGTGTTTATAATTTAAAATTCAAAATAGGTATTATTTTTTAATTTTAGCTGCCATGAAGGTCTGTTTTATTGCCAGTGTTTATAAGTTAATATTCAAACTATTTAATAACTTATTTTTGTATATTATTTTAGCCTTCATGAAAAATCTAAGGAACTGTTATATATAAAAATTTACTGTTAATGTTGAAACAATAATACATTGCTCTTGATTTTCAGTACTACAATTTGATTGTTGATTTTCGGCATCTTTTTGTTGAAAGGTATCTTGTGCAGGAATCTAAAAATATAATAAATAGTAATTAAATCGAAAAATTTACCATCGTCTATAACCTTTTCGTGTACTTTCTAAAAAATGAAACATTTGTTTCGTGTACCTTCTAAAAAAATGAAAATTTAAGGAGCGGTTAAAAACTATATATTATTTATAAAAATTATAAATCAGTGTATAATTGTGTATGAATGTTATTTATTTTTCAGTTTGGTTTGGTTAATGAATGAATGTTTAATATGATTATGTGGTGATTTTTAAAAAGAATATAAAAAATTTAAAAATATCAGAATACCTATTTAATAGTTTGAATTTTAAAGTAGCTACACTACACTTTGAATCGTTCTATTTAATTAATTTTGTCAGATTAAGAAAAAAAAACATTTGCCGGGATTCAAACCCAAGTCCAGTAATCCATCTAGATTTGTAAGCGAAGTTCTTGTCCGATTGGGCCATAGGCACTTTTCAAAATTAACGGTTTTTTGAATATATATTATAAAGTGGGACGTGAGAGCGTAACGCTATTTTTGTGACAAGGCTTTTATATATATTATAGATTAATGTCAGTTTTGTAGTCCAAACTACCTCTCCCCTTTTTCTTGAGATCGCGATCACTTTTCTAATTGGATCAGTGCATTTTTGGATGAATCTATATCCATATTGTCAATAGGATGATTTAAATTATCATGAATATCTGTTTCCGTCAATTATAATCATTTTATTTAAAATATATAAATTCAATGTTAATAAAATAACTTATTATATCCCAATGAATTAATTTGGGATCATAATTTTAAAATTATATTTACAAAAATAATTAAAATTTAAAAATTATAAATTCATGATGACATACTTGAATATTTAGTCTTCTTTATAAAATAAACAGTTTTCAGAATTTTTCAATTAAAATATATATAAATAATATGTAAAATCAAGTAATTTAGGAAAAATCAAAACGGAAATATAGTCAAAAGTTGTGATAATAAACTAAAAACAAAAGCATATTTTTTTTATTATTAATAAAATACGATTGAATACATTATATATTTATTATAAAATGTTAAATATAATCATCGAGTTTTAGACAGTAAAAAATAGCATGCAATATGATGATGTCAAATTAGCTCACAGGACTGTAAAGGGTTAAGAATATAATATCAAAATAAATATTGTATCGCCCTTATTTTTAAAAAAACTGATCCAATATTTTTTTATTGTTTATCGTTATTATGTGATTTATATACATAATTACATAAAATTTTTTATTTTATAAATAATCAAAGGAACTATAATACAATTTATATAGTATAAAAAAAATAGTTAAAATTTTGATTATTTGTTATATTATCTGCAACAAGAAAAATATTTTAAAATATTGTCACATTAGTTTGTGTTGTTAAACTACTCGATTTAGCCAATTTTTTAAAACGTTTAACTCAAATTTTTTGCCAAAAGGAAATACTCAAGCTTATTGATTTGGCCCACAGATGACAGAAAGGAATTTCTATTTGTTGGCTAAAATCTTGATTAAACCATTTTATAAAATCGGCTAAATTGAGCTGTTTAACAAACATTTACTCGTAAACATTGCAAATATTTTAATTGAAGCTCTTAACTTTTGGAGAATAAAAAAAACAAATTACACTTAATCATTTGATAGAAAATATTGAATTTTTTATGACATTGATTCAAGGATAGATGGTAAATAAAAATCATTTTAAATATTAGGATTATAATGGCTTTTTAATAATACCGGAAAATATAGGATCAGTGAAAAATTTGTGGATCGACACAGCCCTAATCTAGATAAATAGATATCCAAAATTCACACAAATATAATAATTTTTAGAGATTACCAGATCATTTTATATATTAATTAATATATCTTAGGAAAAGATAACCGTGATTTCTCATATCAAACCCAATAAAGACTTTTTGGCCAGTCTTATTGGTGACCACAAGCTTGCCGAATCAGAATTTAAAAAAGTACACCAGCTCAACGATTTACTTCAAAAAATTTTGACACTCGACCCTGCTAAAAGAATTTCAATCAACACTGCTCTTGCTCACCCCTTTATAACGGACAAGATTGAATGATTGATTATATCTTCTATATTATTTATAAAAAAATATTTTATGCATACATGGTTTTTGAAGAAAAAAAATTTAAGCTAAGTAACAAATATATTAAAAAGAATATTATAACTACATAATTGTTGATTTTATATTTGTTGTTAATTAAGTATATTTAATGTAAATTTTATTTTTATTTTAAATCTGAAGGAACTGACTCACATACATCATGTATCTCGGCCTTATGTTTATGGTTAATAAATAAGTAATTTCGGTATTTATTTTATTTTTTGAATTACTAATTGATGTTTTCCTCAATAATGTTAACTATATTACCAATACCATAATCTACAATATATCTATTAAAATACTTATTTCAACGTTATACGAACTAGATAAACTTGTTGCTTTATCTAAACTCTACCGTATTACGAAACATGCGATAAGGAACGAGGTGTCTCTCAATTTACGAGATCCTTTGATATATGGGAATGCTACATAATTATATATATGATATTTTTTTCCTAATGTCTAAAATGCCAGATAACATATTATGAGCAGTATTAAGGTTTTCTTTTAATTAATGATAATCATAATTCTTTTTTAAATTAAAACTCATTAATGCTTTTTGTATCAACAAAGATATAGAATCATTTTTTGCTTAGTATTATAAAGAATATTTTATAAACATGTTATTTTAAAGTTTATTTTTATGATTTAAACATATTATCGCAACCTACAAAATCTTGTGATGGATTGGATTTATTTCCTTAAACTCACATCTATGCCATTTTCCGGGAATTAAAAATAGCCATGGGGTCAATTTACACATCGGGTCACGTACAAAATAATTTATTTTGATTTTAATTTACATTTTATTTTTTAAATAAGTTATCTTCTTTGTCTTCTTAGTATTATTTAAATTATATAATCAAATCTGATTATAATGTTATTTATTGTTGAAAAAAATATGTATATTATCGTCTCATTTAACATTTGTAGATGGCTCTCTTAAAGAAATATCCTAATTTTTGGATCATATTCACGCATCATGGAACAAATTTGAATATAACGAATAACATGAGTTATTCATAGCACAAGTTTTCCAAACTGAAATGAATAAATTATTATATATCAATCATGTTATTTATTATTATTATTATGAATATGAATAAAATATTATCTTGTTTTGTTTTCTTTTTCCGGTATTAAGAAAGATTAGCGTTTTTTATTTATATTATTTAATAATTAAAATATCTAAAAATTAAAGCATGTTTCAAATTCATTTGATAGATATTTTTTTAATATTTTGTTAAATTAAATTGATAAGTAGGCGTTTTGGTATTAAAAGTAGTTAGAACTTTTAGAACCCTGCAAATTTAATTTTTTTTAGGACTGAGCTGCGTCCGAATTTTTATTTTAGGCCTGACCCTAATTTTTCATATTTTAACTCATCTTACCGAAGTAAAAAATAATAATGAATTCTAATTATTTTATTTTGATAAACAAGAAACATAATTTTTTATTTTTGATATCCTATGAACCCACATTGATTTTATTCATAATAACCTAGTAAAATATTTATCTTGTCAGAAAGGAGTTCTAAAGAGATCGCTTAATTGTGATTATTTTTTTCGCTCTATGTCACCTCGGGAAATTTATTTTAAATTGATTTTGGAAAGATTTTTGAATTTCACAAATTCATACATTCTAGATATTTTATTATAACATACTAGGGATATTTTCGTTTGTGTAATAATAATTTTATGTTTATGTCTGGTCGATATTTCTTTTTTAGGATGGCTGTGATGAGAAAATGCTTTTCTTCCAATAGATCAGTAGGGGTCAAAAATATTTGTCACTAGTTTTAAGAACTTTAACAGTAAGCTGTTTTTACTCCATGAGAAGAGAAAAATTTATTAATTTAGATTATTCTGACTTATAAATTTGTGGTATTGGCATAAAAAAAAATTAACAATAAATAATCTATTTTTCGTTAGTACAAAATATAAATGTGAAATCTGATTTGTAAAGGAATATAAAACATTGATTTTTGATATAAATTTAATATATTCGGATTTAGATACATTTTCCTATTGTGAATCTTTTTAAAATCAAAATTTTATTTAATTTAAACTTTATATGGAAGAAATGCGGATTTAATTTCTTAGGTAAACTTTAAAAAATCATTCATAAATTCAAATACATAACAATTTTTTCATATAGTCTCATTTTTCTATGAAATTAAGTTAGCATTAAAAAAGGACACTTACATTTTAAAATATTCGCTTAAACTGTCATCCTGTTTTCTTACAGGGACTAATGGCCATACATTTTGAACTTTTAGTCTTTACCATAAAATTTTGGCAGCTGATTTTTCTATAATCGAATATCTGTCTCAAAATTTTTAACGTCCTAATTTATCTTTAAAAACCTCATTTATTATTTCTCCAGTTACATTGTTCTTGGACATTTTCAAGCAAAGACCACCAATTATAATTAGGACCAGGGTTACCACTTGCCAGGTCTCCCCCCATTGTAAATCGAGTTATTGAAATCAAATTTTGATTGCAAATATTCATTAAAAAAATACATTCATTAGAGTAACATTTGAACTAGAGATCTGAAAATTATTTTTTAGAAAAATTCGGGTTCGAGCAGGATCGGGCCTAATATTTTTAAAAAATTCGAGTCGGGCCTTGAAATTTTTTTAAAATATAAAATTCAATTTTATGCAAAATATTTTATTTTATTTATAGAACTATATGCCATTATAATATGTCTTTTATTTTTAGTAATTATAAAATTGAATTTTTATATTTAAATAAATTGGCTGGTAAATTTTTTTTAAAAAAAATTCGGGTTAGGGCCAGCAAAACTTTTTTAAAAAAATTTAAGCCAGGCCGAGTTTGGAAAATTAGGCAGTGTGCAGATCACTGATTTGAACATTTTAATATTTTTAGCAATAGCGCCATAAAATTTATTGTCAATTTTTAACTGTAAAAATAAATACAGCTGCAGCATAGTTTTGTGAATCTTTATTGAAAAAGATTCTTCTGATTACAACTCCATATTAACAACATACATTAGATTCCTACATTTGAAATCATTCCTAAATATGTCTGCCATTTCTTTCTCCAAAAGTTTTTTTTTAAATATTAGGACTGCTTTTATAATTTTATCTAAGAAATATTTTTTTAAAGGTGTGTATAATTTTAAAATTCTATCGATGGCGGGTATTAATGATAACCACCTGATAGGGACATGTCGCAACAACTTACCATTCCAAGTCAGACCCCTCCAACTCTTTTAATTCATTACAGAGTTGTACATTTGCTCAAAATAAAAAGATCGTAAAATTTGAAGATCTTTTATTTTAAAAAAATTTTGAGCAGCGATCTTCAAAGATCTTCATATTTTATAATGTTATAGTAAATTATTATTTTTTGCATTGGCATACGCAGCGTGGGGGGGAGGGGGGGTAATTATTAAAAATTTATTTATGAAATAAAATTTTGATGAAATTTCAAAGGATTTTAGAATGAGAATATTAATTTTTATTGTTCTTAGTGGCGATTTGCAGGTTTATCCGGGTAGGCCAGTTTTTTTCCCTCTTATTTTATATGTAAATTAAATTTTATAGCAAAGTTTAAACACTCATCTATAATTTGGGAAAGTTTTGAGTATTTATATTTATTATATCTGCATATTATTTCAATCATGATTTGTTAATTTATATGGGGGGCTAGATCATAAACGTCAATTATGGCACTTAATAAGTTTTAATATTTCATATATATAATTTTTTATTATAGTAATATTTTTTAATATATATCAGACACCTGCAGAGGTACCATTTGCTGGCCCGGTCCGGATTTTTTTTCAAAAAAATTTTAAAATCCAGCCCGGCCCTGGTTAAAAAATTTTAAGCGGGTGGGATAAAAAAAAATTTGGGCCCTGCTCGGAACCTTTTAAAATTATATTCGACCTGACATATACAAAAAATTTACCTATACGGTATTTTATCATATTTTTCGGCGAGTATTATCATTTAATAAGCAATAAATAAGATCATTTCAATTACTAATTAAAAAATGAAGAATAATTGAAGCACAAAATAAAATTGTTAATTATATAGGATGTAAGACTTTACCCAAACTCTTGAAGTATTGAAAAAAATTCAAAATATACTTGTTTTAAGTACTGAAATTTTTAAAATGACTGAGGTATTCATAGTCCCACCTTTCCTTTGATGAAAGATAAATTTGTTTTATTTAATAAAGAAAAATACTAAATATATTTGAAAGAAAAATATTTCACTTTGGTACGGCGATTTAAATATTTTTAACTAATATTATTACCTAAACCTCGACATTTCGCTGATAAATGTCTAAACTTTTGTGCCATCTATGACCACAATCTTAAGGCTATAAAAATTATTAAGGTTTAACATGCCGAAATAATCTATTTGCTAAGAGACCAAAAATTAAGGATTTTGTTATGTGCAATTTTTATATATGATGCATATATAAAAGATGGTAAGTAAAGTACGAATAATATTTTTATTTAAATATATAATGTAATTATTTTTTAGAAAGGAAGAAAAAGGTAAATAATATTTTTTTCTTTCAACAAGGCAGGGAGGGAAGGGGAGATAGAAAAGAAATAATTATTTATATATAAATAAATTTCGAAATCGTCTGCATTTTAAATAAAATAGAAAGCGAAGGGTGAAGTTTTTCTTTTTATTTAAAAAGAATTTTATATTTAAATTTTTTTTATATAATTAATGGCCATAGTCTTAAAGTTTTTAAGAAATCCCCCATCATACTGACTTTACTAACACATGTAATAATAATATGAAAAAATTTTGAATAGTAATTAAATTAGTAACCAAAATTATAAATTAAGGAGAGCATAAATTCAAAAAGTATGGGTTGAATTATAAAAGGAGAAATATTTCGATGTTAATATTGAACTATTTGCAAGGTTTACAATAAATATTCATAATTAAAACTGCCTTTCGCGACTCAAATTGATAGAGTGAAATTAAAAAAATATACAATATTTTCAGAAGAATAAAAAAAACTGTATTGACATAATTGAATAAGTAAGATTTGGTTTATTATTTCTTTGAAAAATTTGGACTCGTAACCTAAATTTTACCTATGCCTTATTGCTCGTAAAGGC